TGAGAGCGCCAAACTAGTGCTCCTTTTCTTCGAGCTCTCGCATGTACTTCACGAAGCTCTTCTTGTGAACCTAACACAGTCAGTTAGATATTATCGTGCTAAGCCAAAAGCTTTGACAACTTACCATGCCGGCGTAGCGCCCGTTCTTGAGCACGCAAATGAAGCGGAGACCAAGCTTGACGAAACATTCATATACAAGGTCCATTGGGGATCTGATATCCAATGCTACGGGAGCCTGCTTCCTTGTTAGCCACAGCCAGACGAAGCAGATCAAAGGACTCACTGGGTCAATGTACGGAGTAAAATCTGTCTTGTCTCTCTCCGTCTCTTCATCGTCAGAGTCTTCGATGGTGGGAATATGGGCCATCAAACACATGCTTGAAGCCTCGTCGTCAAGACTGTCCAGGGCGAACTCGAGGTCGGGTGCTGGGATGAGCCCAACAAGAATACCGTCTCGAATGATAGGAAGACCTCCGTCAAGCTCACCTGCCCTGTGCAGAGTTTGAAGCTTCTTACGCAGACTGACGGCGGATATCACTGGAGAAGCGCTGACGTCAATGATTCGTTCCCGGCGGACACGAGGGACGATGTCTGCCAGGTCGGAAGTGAAAATTGGCTTGTGCTTATTGTCGAGGAAGGGGTAGGAGTTCATGTTCGTCAGGAGGTCCTACTCATATTAGATTGAACACTCAGTTTGCAGAAACGCCAGATTGTACTCACGTAGATGCTGTTTGGCTCAATGGCGTCAGCAGTCCATTTGGCCACGAGGATAGCCAAGGAGAACGGCAAGACATAATCCAAGCTTCCCGTCAGCTCAAAGAGAATGACTGCAAGTGTTACCGACAACCGAGTGACACCGCACATGGTGGATCCGGCAGCAATTAGCCCATAGACACCGGGCTGAATGCATGATCCTGTTGGTGATGCGGCACATCGAGTCCAGAGCCCAAAGGTGGGGTACATCAGGACGATATACTGAACGACGTGACCGACGATTCTTCCCATGAGACCGCCAACGACCATGGACGGCACGTAGATTCCGGCTGGAACTTTCTGCAAAGAAATTAGTGTCTTCCCGACCATACCCAGGTGTATTACGCACAATTCCAAATGTGATGATCGTCAAGAACCCCTTGATCAAAAAGGCGGAGAAAAGGCCTGAAAGCACAGGAGGAATGCCTTCAGCCGTCGTTGGGCACAGTCCGTAATCTTCGCGATCAGATCCGTCGTGGCATGGCGCCGCAAGGTTGAGCATCAGCTTAGCGACCGGCTGCTTGGTGTGAACGTTCCAGTAACTCATGATTCCGGTCACTACGGCGACCAAGGCAACCTCGAACATGGGGTATTTCTTGATGACGTCGATCCGACGGAAGGTCTTGGCCCAGTGCTTCGAGGCCTTGATGAACAGAGCTCCAGCAGCGCCGCCAAGGATTCCGATGACGATGAAGAACACGATTTCAAAGTAATGCCAGTCGGTTGTATACTTGACCTGGAACATGACGATCTTGTGGGTGCCGTAGGGGTTGAGAAACTTGAGCGACAAGGCTGCGACAATGCAGCAGAAGAATGTGCGGAAAAGCGTCTTTGCAGGGAAGAAGTACGAGACCTCCTCGAGTCCGAAAAGAACACCTCCCAGCGGAGCGCCGAAAGCGACGGCGACACCGGCGGCTGCAGCTGCGGATAGGACCTCGCGCCTTTTGGCGTCATTTTGATCGTACTTCGCGAACAAGCGACAGGCAATGTTGCCGACACACGTTGCAATATGAACGTAAGGACCCTCTTTTCCAAGACTGAGACCAGAAGCAACACTGAGAATGAGAGCAGCTGACTTAATACCCAACGTCTTCAGACCGAGAAACCCGTGCAACACGAAACCGCTGAGGATGACGCGGACTTCAGCCACACCACTGCCAGCAGCTGAGTAGTAAATCATCGGTGGCGGTACGTTTTCCGCGGGTTCTGATGTCGTCGTCACCGGCTCAACAGGCTCTGGAGGCGTCGGGCTCTCGTCGCTTGTAGGTTCATCGGCGTAAGGGGCAAGTTCCGCAGCGAGGTTCTCGTCGAAGGTCGTCATACGATACGCCGAGGGCACCACGGTTTTGGTCGTCAACGTCATGGCGCAAGCAACGCAGGCCAAGCCAACGACGCCAATGAGGTAGATTGTAAACTCGGTTCCCACATCTCCAAAAGGCCAGAATCTCAAAGACTCCGACCAAGTCTCCCAATCGTCGCAAGGTCCTTTTGGACAACAATTCTAATGGCTATTAGCATCTTCGGACTTATCTCCGAGGTGAAGGAACGTACCCTCTCGCTGATGTACCAGCCCCGTGTGCAGTAGCCATATTTGTAATCGAATACGGTAGCCTCGGACAAGTTGACTACGTACGCGACGAGAGCAACGGCTACACCACACACGGCGCTAAGAATCCAGCCCTGCGAAGCATCGAAGATGGCGTATATCCTTCCCCAGAAGTCCTTGCGCATTTTGAGGGCCTTGGCTCGGTGGGCATCGACGATGTTATCGTGAACCCAATCGGTAGACGTAAACTGATCGTACCATACTCGTTCGTCGGGCAGAATTGATCGTTTCGACTCGGACATAGATTCTGGGAAGTCGGAGAAGGCGTGCGATAAGCGAGCGCCGAATGACGGGTTGCGACTGTGGTGCAAACTCCGGATGCTTCCTGGATAGCAAGGACATGGATCAGCTGTCATGTTTTCTTGGTACACGCAAAGCATGTGAAGCGAGCAAGACACTTACCGGCCGTGCTGTGATTCCTCGACAGGCCCGGAGTCAGGTGTTTGGGGCTCTCGGGAGTAGCAGCTTGGTGTCGCCGAATCCGAGATCTCGAGTTCAAGAGTAATGGTGAGCGCTCGTCCGGCTCGCCGAGCGAGCCTGTCCGGTCAAATCTCGGTCTTCTCGTGTTCGTCGGTGACGGAGGCACTGACAGCGCGCCGTCATCTGGTAAGTCGGCCATGGTGGAAGTTGTTGTAGAGATGCAAGGCGGCTCGAGCCGTTAAAGTTCTCGGGTCTGTTTCGAGTGCTGCGTGATTGGGTTCGCTCTCCTAATCGTCCAAAGATTGGGTGCAGAAGTCGAAGCAGAAAGCACACAAGGCTCGTCGCCTCGAGATGGGATAAACTCGAAAGCACAGGACACGATCGAGGTCGTCGAGGTAAGGTCGGCGAACTAGACACTTATTGGAGGGCGGTCAGGGGTAGTTGGAGGCGAAGGTCTGGACTTGGGCGTCTTTGACAAGTCGGGCGATCAACCGAATAGACAAGGTTGGCGGCAGGTTAAGGTAAAGCTGCACGTGAACCCAACGTGGAATGGTTCGAGGTTACTCCAAAGACGGTAAGAAGCAGACACGACAGGATATGAGTTGGCTGGGGGAGGCGACAAGAGGCTGATCACGTCGAGGGGTTCGGAGTCAGATGCGACGAAGCAAGGTAGGCGGATGACTATCGCGGGCGAGACATGGCAGTTCCTTGGCAGGTTTACTTATCCATCAGATGGCACCTCGAGTTCGGCCAGGAGGAAAAGGGATCGAGATGAAGGACAGGCAGATGGAGGGGGGGAGGAAGAAAAGAATGGAAAAGATCAAAACCCTCAAGACCCGTCGCCGCAACGAACGATCGGCTCTTCAAAATAAGTTGGAAGCGAAACAAAACGCGACAACTTGGTTCGAGACGGTCTTGACCCCGTCCACTTTCCTCAGGCCCCCCCTCCCCCTAGCACCACCGAGACGGCGGGCAACGGGCTGTGCACCGGGCACGCGCGGTAAGTATAGAGGGCGTGATCCACCCTGGCAGACAGTGCTGTAAATTATTTGTTGCAATGGCGGTGGAAAAGGAAGCACTAAAGGGTGTAGAAAGGCTTGGCCGTGAGGTCATTGCACCGGGTGACCCTTTGGTGGATGCCTCTGGATGCCACTGGATGGCGGTTATTGGCCCCGAGTTTAGCGCACTTTCCGCCGAAACGGTCAGATCGAGGACCCTGAGATTACTGAATCCCTACCTCGCACTGAAGGAAGCAGTGGAAAGCCGACCTGTCCCGCAGAATTCCACCACGCCGCACGCCATCAGCAGCCAATCACAGGCCAATCCCGCGCCCAGTTCCCTGCGCAGCACCCGTCACGAGTAAAGGGTGGCTGCAGGACGGCAATCCGCACCGTTAGACGTCGCTCTTCCCTCTGGAACGTTCCGAGGTCCAGTGTCGACGCAGAAAGCCGACCATCCCCTTCGAATGCAGCTAATTCCAACTCAAAGTCCAACATCAAGGCCGCCGGTGCACGACAGCACACCACTTTATGTCTAGCTCACCAAGCCACTTATTGACAGGCGTCACTCGACATGCCTCAATTGCGGTAGCATCGCGACGGCTATTCTTGAACCAACCTACCGATCAGCGTGTTTTGGCCTCGTTTCCAAATAATTGGATACAAACACAGCAGCCTTGAGATCCAGACCCAGACAAAAACCAGCATCCTGGGCCCGGCCATGTCTTGTTTTCCAACCCCAGATGTCGCTAGCTGAACGCCCCAATTAATTATCTGGGAACTGGAGGAAGTGAGGCGTGGAGGGCGCCACTGTAACCCGTTGCAGACACGTGCCTGGAAACCTTCTTGGGTGCAACGGTGCAACTCTAGAACGGAATGTCTCCGTACCACCACCACCATTACTACTACCGTCTTGAGGCGCCCTTACCTAAGCATCCCGTGTGCACCTTGAGGGACATCATCAGCACGAATTCGAGCTTTGATTCGCCCGTCGCTGTCAATCCTCCGTTTCGGTCACCGTTCCGAGTCGCCAACCCTCGACGCGTCGACGCCCTCAGCCAACGTCATCTCATCGCGGCAATAGTCTTTGCGCCACAAGCGGCACTCACTCTTCGCGCGGAATCATTCTGCAGGCCTGTCAGCCAGTTCAAGCGGCCGTTACGGTTCCGCACATCTGACTGTGCGCACCCTAATTATGACCCGGTGAGCCGCAGACTGGCGACATGTCAGACACCGGGGATAAGAAGTTGACGGTGCCGAAGTTCTCAACCTTCAAGCCCAAGGCACCCGATCCTGTGCCGTTGGCCAAATCCTCGTCTAGTGAAGTCACACACAGCCGGAAGGATGGTGCTGGTGAGGTAGCTAAGGAAAAGAAATCCCGGCATGAGTCCAGGCACCGAGACGACCACCGGAGGCATAGGTCAGATCACCGATCAGAGCATCGATCGGAACACCGCCACCGTGATCGCAAACGCAGTCGCAGCCGCAGTCAGGAACGGTCTCTTGTTGTTGCTAAAAGACCCAACGTTGCCACGACTCTGGAAGAAAGGGCTGGAAACGGCGTCTTCGTCATAGACACAAAAGGTGACCCCCTCATCAGGAGATTTGGCGGCAACGACCGCGGCAAGGTGCCCACGTATCGTCGTGACGGGCGTGGGAAAGTCCTCGGTTCCGATGGCTACCTCATTATTCACAGAGATGGCCCCAGAGAAGAATTCAGCATTCGGATGCCGGGCGAGGGCAGCTCTACTTTGCGAGACAGAGCTCTATTCCAGGCGAGGGTTCATAGGGTGAAAACAAGACGCATACGCCCACGAAATGAAGGCCAAGAGGAAGCCGAAGAGGACTTCGTACCACTCAGCAAGTCGTCCAAACGATGCCGCACTGAAGAGCCAGAATCCGACGGGGATGACAAACCCTCTTACAGATCAATCGAGGGCAAGGCCAAGGCCCATGAGTTCTCTGATAGCGACATCGACTTTGAAACCGACCAGGAGGGCGACTTGACTCCGGAAGCAGACGAGCCCCTCAAGCAACGTTCAATTCACCTGTCTCGTCGGGTCAAGGAACATCCTGATGACATCGCAGGATGGCTCGAACTTATCGCCCATCAGGACGTTCTCCTCAAAGCTGGCGAAAGTCTAGACCGCGAAGTAACAAAGGGCGAGATACACAGTTTTGCAGAGATCAAGATATCAATGTACGAGTCTGCACTTGCCCAAGTCAAAAGACCAGAAGACGAAGAACGGCTTCTCCTTGGTCTGATGCTTGAGGGTGCCAAGGTCTGGTCCTCATCGAAGCTTGACAGCCGTTGGTCGGACGTGGCAAAGAAGCACGAAGTGAGTTTCTGTCTTTGGAAGGCCAGGATCGACCACAAAGTCACGGACTTGAAGACGTTTGAGTACAGCGAAATCAAGAAGCTGTATATTGAACGCCTGCGAGCCGTCGCCCAACAGTCATCCGTTTCGGCTTCCCCAGGACCAGTGTATAGCGCAAATACCGATACAGAGGCTGCCCGTTACGAGCAGATGATATACATCTTTTTGCGAATCACCAGGTTCATATACGACGCTGGCTATCGTGAATCGGCAGTCGCAGCGTGGCAAGCGCTTCTCGAACTCAACTTGCAACGACCTTCCACGCATGATGCCCTGTCAGAATCTGAAATACTGAGTTCTTTTAGAGACTTCTGGGAAGATGAAGCACCAAGGCTAGGAGAGCACAACGCATCCGGCTGGAGTCACTACGTCCAGACTAATGGTTCGGTGGATTCTCCAGAACAGCAACGAGACGACGACACTGTGGTGCAATCCAGAGATGTATACAAGTCTTGGGGTGCGACAGAACGTCTCCGGGCAATAAGCTCCAGGAGTCCAGGCCGAGCTACGGATGATGTTCTCGAGGACGATCCATACCGAGTTGTCATGTATTCAGACATCGAAGAGCTTCTCTTTGTTATCCCATCCGCAATAGTTTCCCGTGTTTGGAAGCAATTGGTGGATGGCCTTCTCATATTCTGCTGTCTGCCCCCGGTGTTTCGCTCAAGCCCATGGATTCAAAGCGCAGAGAATGACTCCTTTGTTGTTGGCAGTCTAAGCGTTTTCGAGGCCGACGTCCTTCGCAAGCCGAACGAACCTGATGTTATGGACGAGACCAAGAGTATACCGGCTTTCGAGCAAGACGGGCTGCGCCTTGCTGTGTCTTCCGATCTACTCTTTGCTAGACGGAATTGGTTCTCCTTTCTCAGTGGCTGGCCTTGCACTGCCAAGTCTCTCGATGGACCGGTAGACTTGTCTTGGGTTGCGAATTGTCTTCGACAACTCGTAATATCGGTCGGCTTGAAGGATTTGGCAGAGTATTCATTGGCCGTGGATGTCGCCAACGAACCCGGCAATGTCAAAAAGCGCGCTAAAGCTCTCATCAAGAAAGACCCGTCAAACCTGGCCCTCTACAACGCTTATGCGCTGGCCGAGGTTGGAACTAGTAACTTGGAAGTTGGCCGTCAGGTTGTCTCATCAGCTACTAGTTCGGTCTCAGTAAGTACTCGCTGCGGTCCACAAAAATTTTCCGTATCACTAACGCGCATATCTCAGCCTGCCAGCTCCACCAGCGGGTTGTTGCTTTTCAAGACGTGGGCATGGATGGAACTTGACGAAGGGAACAAGAATCAGGCCATACTGCGTCTCTGTGCCTCAGTTGACCAGTCCTTGAGGAATGCCCCGGGATTGGCAGCTCCGTCTCCATCGCAACTCTTGAAGGCTCGTCAGACTTTGCTGGACGACCTCGAGCACCAACTCTCTCTCAGGCAGCCGGATGGAGCTATTTTGAGTGCAGAATGCCTTGCATTGCTGGTATATCTCACATCGCAAGAGGGTAGCGAACCCACGTCTGAGGCCCAAGGAAGCATATCCATGGCGATGGAAAGACTGTGGACCATCTCTTCTGAACTGTGTGCACAGGGCCAAGCGAAGTCTCAAGCCCACGAAAGGCTCTTGCAGGCTGCTGCAAGACTTTTATACCATCACGCCAGTCGAGGGTAAGCTCACCAAGTTTCAACCAAGAGTTTCCAGACTAACATACATCAGGCCATTCCGGCGAGCGTACTTGAGAGATCAGCTCGCTCATTGCATCGACTTGTTCCCACGCAACACCATTTTCCTCACTCTCTTCGCATGGGCCTCGACGACTTTCGGCATCGATGATCCTGTCCGGGACATTCTTCGGAAGGTCACACTTACCGATGCCAACGATTGCATTGGGAGCCGCATGTTTGCGATTCGCTACGAGCTGCTGAAGGGAAACGTACACTCCACCCAGGCGGCGTTTGAGCGAGCTCTAGATACCCCGGTATGCAGGTCAAACCCAGAATTCTGGCGATGCTACATCAAGTTCAGCTATGCAAGGAAACAGTTCCGGCACAAGGCTAAGGAAGTCTTCTTCCGCGGGCTGCGACATTGTCCATGGTCGAAGGATCTGGCCCTCGAGGCATACACAACGCTCATCAACGTCATGGATGAGTTCGAGCTCAGGTCTGTCTTCAACACGATGACCTCCAAGGGATTGCGGATACACGTCGATTTGGAGGAATTTGTGACGAAGCATGAGAGAAGTAAGGTGAAGCGTCGTTAGAGAACCCAGATAAGTCTGGTTTAGCATACATAGCATGCAGGGGCTAGGGACCGCAATTCCTGCTCCTGGGGAGAAAGCCCAAGCCATCATGATGATGGGCCATTAGGGTGATTCAAACGGTAAAGCAGATTGGGGTAGTGTCCGGGGTTGGCCGCAGCACGGGCTGGGCGCCAGAATGATTCACCAGGAACCTCAATGGGTCTAGCTATGAGCTGCAGTAATGAAGAGTCAGAGTGGCGATGCGTCAGCCAAAAATTAGGACGCGGACAAGGCAGTTGGTAATAGAAACCATCGAATTAGCATGGTTTCGTGCTCGTTGTAGGCAAAGTGACTCATCAGCCATACATTCCGTCCCTTCTCTCCCACTGGCTCGCAGTGAATCTAGGGGTCCACAGCCCGGTGTGCCCCGCTCTCAGCGCAAAAGCCTAGCCAAAGCGGCAACAGCACCCAAAAAGTTGCAGAAAGCGGGCAGCCGGCCGTGCCTGCCCCACCTTGACCTCTGCGATTGACGCTTTTTATTAATGGGACCTTTCCGCCTCTGCAAAAATTCCATCATCACCAAACCACCAGGACCCTTACCACGACAACATACCCTTTAGGGCCCTTTTTCTGCGACCAAACTACTCTTACGAAGCCCTACCGGCATCCCATCTTCACCATTCCAATAGTCAGCACCGAGCTTACCGGGACAAACACAATCATGGCTGTGCGCGCGCAGTTCGAGAACTCCAACGAGTGAGCAAAAGCCCCGCCGAACCCGACCCCGCCATCCTGCTTTCTGCAGCGATCCGGCCACCGACCACGCGGTATGCTGACTTTGAGACTCTTAGGGTCGGCGTCTTTGCGACCCTCACCAACTCCTATGCTCTGACCGCCCTCGGTGCGAGCGAGAACTTCTACAGTGTCTTCGAGGCTGAGCTGCAAGATGTCATCCCCATCTGCCGGACAACCATTGCCGGTACGAGAATCATTGGCCGGTTAACAGCTGGGTAAGCACAGCAACACCTCGAAAATCTCTGATGGTGCCTTTTGGTAGCCATATGAGAGGTCCCATGAGCATCAAATAGTTAAAGCTGACCACCACCACCCAGTAACCGCAAGGGCCTCCTTGTTCCCACGAGCACAACAGACCAAGAACTCCAACATCTTCGTAATAGCTTGCCCGACGAGATCCGCATACAGAGAATAGAGGAGCGTCTTTCCGCTCTCGGCAACGTCATTGTCTGCAACGACCACATCGCTCTGATTCACCCTGACCTGGAGCGCGAGACGGAGGAGATCATCGCCGATGTTCTTGGCGTCGAGGTCTTCCGCCAGACCATTGCCGACAACGTGCTGGTCGGATCCTACATGTCACTCTCCAACCAGGGTGGCCTCGTCCACCCCAAGACCTCGATACAGGACCAGGACGAGCTTTCCAGTCTTCTGCAGGTGCCTCTGGTTGCCGGCAGTGTCAACCGCGGCAGCAACGTCGTCGGTGCTGGCATGGTCGTCAACGACTGGATGGCTGTCACCGGTCTCGACACCACAGCGACGGAGCTGAGCGTCATCGAGAGCGTGTTCAGGCTCGGCGAGGGTCTGGGTCCCAGCAACGTCAACACCAACCTCAAGGACACCATGGTCGAGTCGTTCTACTAAACATGGAGAACGGCGATCGGGGAAGAGCGGAGGAAAAATCGGTGTGCGGCTGTTCTGGGTTCATTCAGGTCTTTGGTTGGTTTGGGATACCATTAATGGGTTGAGCAACGGTTTTGAGAGGCTCGATTCCTTGCGAGCCAGTTTTAGGGTTCAGTCTTAATGCTGAGGACGCGAGAGAGAATTCTTGCGCCTGGCATGGAATATACCTAGCCCACGGGCAGTTAGGACCCTACCTATTTCTTCGAAGTTGTTGATGTGACTGTGCTTTTCCCAAATCCGAGACATTCGTATTGAATGTCCATTCTGCGAACAGGGCCCGTTTGTGTGAAACATCGCGTGAACTATATTATTGCCGTTGATTCTGGCATGGTATAAAATGAAAGAAGGCCCAGACACCCGGCTCGATTTCGGTCCTCCCTTCGAAAGCCGCCGCAGAGTCAACATCATGGGCCTCGTATTACATGAGGTCAAGGCCGACGAGGAATTCGTCCCGCTCATCGCCGCTTTGCGCGAAGGGTTCGCCAACCCGGACACGGCCGTCTGGCGACTCTTCATGGGCGACTGGAGGCCCGACGACCTCGCGGCACGCGAGGCCGCTCTCGTGGAGGCCACGGAGAGGATGCGAGCCGAGCATCGCGCCGACCCGACGAGCACGTGGCTCAAAGTCATCGACGAAGAGACGGGGCAGGTCGTCGCCGGCGGCCGGTGGAGCTTCTTCGAGAGGGGCGGTCCGAACCCTTACGACGGGCACCGGGAGGTCGAGGCGACGTGGTTCCCGGAGGGGGAGCCGCGGTGGGTTGCGAGTTTGCTGCTGAACGATTTTTTGGAGAGGGCTGTGAGGAATGCGAACCGGCCGCATGCGTGTGAGTGTGTCGCGGAAAGCGAATTCAGGTTTCACGTGGGATTCGCTTCGCAGACTGACGTTGAGATTACACCAGTCCTGAATATTTTGTTCACGATCCCGCAGTATCGACGCCGGGGCGCCGCGTCTCTCGTCATGGATTGGGGTGTTGAGCGGGCTGATTGCATGGGGTTGGACGTCTACATCGAGGCTAGCGAGGGCGGGAAGCCGCTGTATGAGAAGTATGGCTTTGAAGCCATCGAGGAGAGTTACTATGAGGTCGATGAGAAAAGACTACCACCGCCGAGGGATGTTGAGCTTCGAAAGGAGGCTGTGAAGCAGCTGTCGCCGTTCAGACGCTGGAGCATGCTTAGGAAGGCTAGAGGTTGAGGTGGTGACGTTGGTTGCGACGGTGGTGACAAGGTTACGTTGCTTCCAACATACAGCATGGTGAGGTTAATACAAGGGATTGACTCTTTGCGATAACCTCTACTATTTCTTAAGCATTAAGTTATCTTCCAAAATAGAATCGCATCCTCAATAATGATGGCTTTCATCGGCATTACGCGCAGTTCGCCACATGAGCTCCTGGGCCCAGCTTCGCCGTGCAAAGCGAGCTACGAAGTGCAGACGGTGAATGCAATCAGGGCAGGGTAGCATTGTTGGTTGGGTTTGAAGGATTCCTGTGGAAGAAATCTTGATGACGTCCTCTGCCAAGATACCCTGTTCCTGGCATATCAGCCGCAACGTCGATCAGCCGCCGCGACTGCGCCTCTGGAGGCCGCAACGTACGTCACACCCGGCAAATGAATCTGTTGGCGACATCCGGACTGGCATTGCCATGGCAAAAATATCACTAATGCCAGGTCCCTGCAAGCGTAGTCATGGCCATCGCGATATCCGGCCGATGAAGCCGGCCCCGGAACCCCGGAGGACCACCGGCCGGTCCGGATGATGAATGGGGGCGATTGTCGGGATAATGCAGCGCCATGAAGGCCCGGCCGTCTACGAGTTCTTGGCGCAGTACGGAAAGTGAAACCATGATCAGAGTCAATTCCGTTAAAGTGCTGTCGGAAACATCACGAACAAGTTGACCAAAGGTAAAATAACAGATGGCTATTCAACCCCGCACTTCAACCGCATTCACAAGTGCCGAGGGTGGGAAGGGAAAAACCACATTCCCATTCTTGACGGGTGTCACGATCTGCAACCCTGGGCTTAGAGTGGCCTTTGCCTTTTTGGCCCGAACAAGTTAATCTTGTCACCTTCTGTGTCGGTCCCGAAAGGCGGCAAAGCACCGGCCACCGAAGGATTCCAGAAAATCAGAGCTTGGTCCGGCATGAAGGGAAACGCTACCGCGGCGGGCATGGCGGGGGAACGTGCGAGGACCGAGAGGGAGGGTTCTGTGTCGATGATGGGCGATGGGTGATGGAATGTTGTGGTGTTGGGTCAGGGTCTATTTCAAGATATTCTTCAACGCCAGCCGCACAATGGAATGGAATTCGCCATGGAAGAAGGTCTGTTTAAGCCTCACGGGATGGGGGCGCGTATCCCACAGTTTTGTTTCTTCGCTAGAAGGAATGGTGGAGATTGCGATGTGGTGTCTGTTTTGTTTGATCGGCCGTGCGAGACGGAGGATACGACGAGGGGGGAAGGGGGCGGAAAAGGAAGCCAAATGTGTCTTCGATCTTGTTTCTTTGTTTGGACTAGGGGTCGGAACTTTTTTTCTTGATCTCGCTAGTATGAACATCTGCACGTGAATATGGACTGAAGAGGTTGTCGCGTGCCTGAGCGTGGCCGGTTGACGAGCTGAACAACTGAGGATCATTGGCGTTTCGATGTTTTGCCTTCCTGCTTTGTAGATCTTTGATGGTGCGGAATCGCTCAGGATCAAGGTAAGATTCAAACGGACGGGTTCTATGACCGCACTTGGGGGCATCAGAGTTCAGCTAGAGAATTGGTGGTGAGTTGGGTTGAGTGAGGGTGTCCATCCAGCTGAGAGATGAAGTGGTGTTGTGAAAACAACGTTGGACATTAGATCATGACTTGCCCCGTCCCAAGTTGCATACCAACTTTATGGATGAAATACCTAGAGCTAAGGGATTGAGGAATGCAAAGGCAATTGTGATTGTGCCGAGTTGACATCCGCACGCACGGGACAGCATTGAGCTCAACACAATTCATTCCAACAGTGAATTCCTCCCGTCTGGCCGCTGCAGAGTGCCAAAGTGCATCGGCCTGCAATGCGACTTCCAGGGTCCAGGAGCCCCAGCGCCCAGGGATGGTGGTACGTGCACCATGTACCCCGTAGAGTGCCCAGGCAGACGTACCTCTTGTGTGCTTCTACGTACCTACTTGAGGGCCGACCGGCGACCGGCACAAACGGGGGTCCTCAAGAGCCCAGAACGCAGCGCAACTGACGGACTGCGAAAGGAGCGCAGAGAGAGAGAAGGCCGGACTCTGGTGGCTGAATGCTTGCCGAGGGGCGGGCTGACGAGCCGGTGCATGGCAGGGCGGCCAGAGGTTGCTGTGAGTGGAGGAGTTGGAGGGGGAGCTGGTCAACTGATGATGGCTTCCATGTTCTGGCCGCCGGCCACTGGAGCCAGCGGATACTGGATGCTGGGCTCTGTATGGGTTGACGGGGCCTCACAGCCCGAAAGACGGGGGAAAGTTGGACATGTCTCCCCCAACCTCCTCCAAATGTCGGCTTTGACTTTGTTGACGTCGCTTGCCGCCCTCCGCGTCGGCTTCTGGTTCTGGTTTTCCTTTGGCTTTTTTCCAGGGACCTGTGCTTGCCGCCTCCATCACGTTCCGTGGGCGTCGCTGGCTGATTCCAAGGTTTTACTCTCCGTCATAACGGCCTGCAAGTCTGAGCCCGACCTCGTGGGAGCAAACACAATTCCTCAAGAGCCAACGTGCCAACGCAAGGATCCCTCGTTGAACATTTCCGCCTCTTCGACATTCTCTGTGGTCCTGCAGTGCAGTGCAGTGCTACAGCGAAACCGACGGCTTCTCTTTGCTCGATACCCCTTCGCAGTCATTTGCCTACGCACTCACTCCACGGCCTACCTCCGGAGCCTACCGTACGGAGACGGCCTCTCTACCAATCGTGCCTGCAGTTCCTGACTCGGCCGTTCGCCTTCCTTTGACCGACTGGATTGCAAAGCGGCACAACTTCTGGCCCCCGCTTTTTCTCCTCCCGCGATAGGAGACACAATACAACACAGCGCATCAATATCAACACGACACAAGACGGACGCCTTCAGAGAGATCTACCCGCGCTGCTAGCTCTCAGCCACAAGCGCAGTTGCGTACTCACCTGCGACTTTGACAGCTCGACGTCCAACAAACCACCCCCGCGAAGAAAACGCCGCCGACGCCTCTCGACACTTCTTTTTTTGTTCCTCGATCCGGCAGCCTGCGCACATCTGCAAGGACCGGGTCCGTCCGTCTTCAACCATTTCATTCCGAGAGGTTCATGCGAGTTGTGCAAGCCAAGCAGCCTACCACGCAGTACACCGTCGCCTGTCAACATCGCTCCCTAGTCGCAACCCGGCCGCTCGCTCTCCTCGCTTGCAGGGGAACCTGGCTTCTCGCCTGAAGTCTCTCGCTCCCCTTTGTCCAAATCGACCGACCAGCGTTTTCCCCCTACCAGCGACTGAGACTCTGAGTCTGTCCTCCTCTCACTTCCCTCCCCAACGCCCTATCCGCACTCATTTTCCCGACCCAGGCCGCTTGCGACTCGGGGTGCTCCTAGCTCAAGAAAGGGTCCCTCCTCTTCGGTCACTGTTCACTGTTTGGGCCTTGCCAGTGTTGATCCATTCACATTCCCAGTACCAACAAGGCCGCAAACCCCGTCTCAAGCCTATCCCAGCGAGCAGAGCTTGTACCTCCCTACTGAAGCTGGGAGGCAAGAGATATTGCCCGTCCCACACGAAACATTAACGCATCATGCTAAGTCGTCACGCCGCCTCCACCTCAGACTACCCGTCTACCGCTCCGCGCCCAACGACGGACTTTGGAATGGACGGCTCTCAAACTCTACGCCATGCACATGGGCCCGCGAGCAGAGATCCAGCCGTCGATCCAACTTCCCCGAGCGCTACCCCCGGTGCTGCCATAAACACCAACCCGCCTACCCAACCCGAACCGTGTCGCATTAGTCCGTCTGCCGCCAACCGAAGCTTTCCAAGACTCCAGACTGGACACCAGAGGCAGCAATCTGTTCCAAACCTCCCCTCCACACGCACAAACTACTCTATCCCGCAGGTGACGCTCTCACCATCTACAGAGCGAGGGAGCGGCCGTCCCTCGTCGGTCACGATGCCTCTTACCGGAGACAACAGAAGTGGAAAATCACCAGACGCCGCTCGAGGAGGAATACTGAGCGGTTGGCTGGGCGGCTCCGGATCTCCCAACAGCGCGGAAGGAACCAGTCCGACAACCCAGACGAACAAAATGAACGATGTCGACGCAGATGGAACGCCCTCGAGGTTGCAGAGGAGGGCGACAGCTGGCCAAACGTCAAAAGGAACCTCGCCAAATACCTCAAGATTCGCCTTCTTCAGCTCTCCGTTCGGGAAGAGTAGCCAGGCTGCCCCCGACCCGAAGCAAGACGAGGAGCTGTTAAGTCTCAACATCCAAGAAGCCCTCTTCCCTCCGTCTTCACCAACACATCGGGACGCCTTCTCCCCTGCGGCGTTCAAGAACCTCGAGACTACGGCAATCGGCCTATTGACGAAATACCAAAACGCCTTCCAACGGCAGCACGCCACAATCCAGGAGATGCGGGAAGAGAAAGACGCTCAGGAGGACGAGAACGAGGAAGCCGATACACGAATCCAGCACTTAAAGGTTCAACTAGAGAACATGGCCTCCAAGGTCGCCGAGCAGGAGCTGTCCATGCAACAACTCATGGCGGAACTAGCGGCGGAGAAAAAGGCAAGGCAAGAGGAGCGTTTGATGAGCCAACGGGGCCGGCCTATTTCCGAGGGATCATCAATATCCGAAGACCTGGGTGTGGAGGAAGATCAGGCGAGGAGAAAGTGGAGAAAGAGTGCCGGGTTTGACACCGACGAAGAAAGCGTCGAGGACGCCAGCGTCTTCTCGAGATCACGAAGCCCGACCACCGCCGCGCCGAGCGTCTTTGAGGGTAACGATACGCCTCCCGCGCTCGCCAGGAGCAATACGGGCAATACCCTAGGCCCCCCGAAAGCGTCGCGGCCGGTTGCCCCAAAGACTCCGCAGCAAACGAGCGTGTTCCAGAAGTTGATGCGAGGTGTGACGGGCGACGCAAACCAACAAGCCGGCGCGACGTCATGTACGAACTGTCGCGGGCAGGACGAGCGGGCTGCGTGGGACACCGTCAGCCTCCTGAGGGACGAGAACCGCGGCCTGAAGCACCGTGTTGCTGAGCTCGAAACGTGTGTGGACACTGCGTTGGACGTCGTGAACGGGCTTAGACTTGACTAAGAGAAAGAGGCGGATTTACATATACTTCTATAACGACCCATTATTTGTTGGATTTTCATTGGCGTTTAGGGTTACGGAAACGGTTACGGGATAACACGGACAACGTGATACCAATGAGCTGGCATTATTGACGTTTGGCAATATACGGCATATACCTCTTTAACGTATGAGCTAGGTGTAGAGAATCAAGCACTTGTTGAGTACTTACACGGCTGCATGCTATATGTCGTTCAAGTATTTTCGCAACCAAAGAAAGAAACTCCATTTGACAGCTCTTGGACAACGTCACAAGACGTTGGAGACCCCGACTTGTCAGAAGCTTGGACTGAGCAGAAGCTGCGATGGGATGGGATGATGTGTTGAAACGGGCGTCTGTGCAACGACATTGCGCCAAAGGGCCGACAAGCGGTTCTCGACGGGACATGCTGTCCGTTTAAGTACATTCTTCCACTGGCAGTTCGGAGTAGGTTGGTTGTTGAGAAGGGAGCATTTGCTGCGTGGTAATACGAGCTTAGTGAGATGGCTGAGGCACCTTGATGACTGAAAACTTTATTCAACCTGTAGATGAGGCGGAGTGTGTTCGCTCATGCAGGAACCGTCTTACAGGACGAATAACCATATGGTTCGGCTAGCGGGGGTGGCATACTTCACCGGCTGACGCCCCTGGAGGTCGGTCTATTGCTAGATGTATTTACGATAATGATGATACCGGTTTTGTGGGTGTATCTAATGTGCCCTCAATGCTCGCTTTTCAAAGCTTTGGGGACATTACGAGAACTCTGCTAGCGCTCGCGCTCAAGTAGATACCCCCTTGGGAGTCTAAGTAGTTCTAAGCCAACACATCCTGTGAGGATGAGAGCCGTAGCAGGTTTGAAGCAAGCAAATATGTCATACTGGTACACACTGACTGTTCGATTCTCTTCGCGGCTAGTACAATCCAGGAGATTGACGGGTAGTTTACCAGGCTCATAGATCTTCAAATACTGGCTGCCTCGCATGGCATCCGTACATAGGCCAGTGAGCCCGGAATGCATACATGATGCCTTCTGATTTTCAGAGGCATTCAGGCATAACCTTAGTCTGGAGCCGCGATTGCTCCGGCCGCAAAACATACCTGTCAACCACACCATTGCCCACATCTTGACCATCACGGCACCCTCGGAGTCACATATTCGGCAATGTTCTTGATCGCGGGAAACAATTCGTCTTCGTCTAGACCCTTCCAGCGAGCCGGTCTGCCGACTCGAGAGGTAAATGTACAGCGGAGCAACTCCCCTCCGTCTCGCTTCCCTTCCAAGCCGCCCCTCTAGTGGTGGTCGTTGCCGTGGCTGTCGCCGTGGTGGTGGTCGTCGGCCAGGAAGAAGTACTCGTACGCGCAGTAGCCGGCGAAAGCGACGGTCGCAATGCCCAGGCCGGGGAAGGATCCCTTGAATCGGTTGAACCTCGTGAAGGGGCCCTTGTATCTCCACGACTCTCTGTATCTCGACCGTCAGCGGTTGTCCAGAAATCGCAAGCACCCGCATGCCAGTGGTCTGCACTAACGCTCTCTCCCAAGGGTCGTATCTGGGCTGTCCGGCGGCCTCCTTGAAGGCTCTCATGTCGAAGCCGGTGACATTGGGCTTCGGGCCGTGGGCGGCCCTGAGTATCCTATGGTCGGAGGGAGTCCGTCAGTCGTCTGGTCTCGAATGCACCAAGTCAATTGAGCGCTTTGGAAGGAGCATACCTCGATGGCTGCATGATTGCTGTGTGAATGTCGTCTCGCCGTACAACAATGGACGGTTCGGGGTTGTGGTCAGTCGAGTTGGAAGGAAGCTGATTGGAGATCTTTGAGATGTTGTCGTCGGAAAGTCCCGCGGGTACGTACCTGTCTGGCTCGGGGCCCTGCACAGACCACCCCTCCGTCCATGGTCAACTCAGCAAGCCTTTGGGCTCGTAGACACACATTCTGTCCCTAAAACCGAGCTCAGCCAGACGTATCTTTACCCAGCGCCCATCGCACAGCACGACTCAGAACGAACGAAACGGACATCAATCGTCGCAACGATACCGAAGCACGCGCAGAAACGAACCTTTTGGACGACGCACCTCACCGAGCGAGACCGAGTTCCGACGACCGGCGGCGGAGAACAAAGGCGCTCTTCTGCTGCCAGCCCCCGTACCTCCTCAACCCCAGACGCAAATGCAGGGCCGTGGATCGTCCACAACCCCTCAGAGACCGACGAAACATCGTTCGACATCGCGGTAGACTCGCAACACTTCATATATAACTTGAAGCCCCTTCTTGGGAGGCATAGTCTGGCATGCCGCCACCGATCCCTAGGTTCCCTGGCGGGCCCAACACCATATCGCCTTACCACCAGCAGTTCCCCTCCCACGCCGCCCAAGGCCATGCCGCGAACCATGGGCCTCCCCTCGGCGGCAATCCCTCCTACCTCAACGCCAACGCCCAGATCAGCCCCTTTTCTACGAACGGAAATGTTCTCGGCGGCACTCCAGGTCTAAACGGCGGCTTCCCCCTCGGCGCCGACAACAGCCTCAGCAGCCACGCTGCGCGCATGAGCTTCCACGCCGCGAACTTGCAGCAGCAACCGCACGGCCAGCCGCAGCACAACTTTGGGCTCGATCATGGCGGTGCGCCGGCACGAACGACCCAGAACAAGGGAAGGATACGTGAGGTCTGGAAGCACAATCTTGTCGAGGAGATGGCCGTGTTGAGGGAGCTCGTCGACAAGTACCCGTATATTGCCATGGTTAGCTGAGACTCAGCCCCCGAGACTCGGGAAGACCAAAACTGACGACTGTCAATCGTAGGATACCGAATTTCCAGGCGTGGTGTCACGGCCGATGGGCTCTTTCAGGGGGAAGAGCGATTACCACTACCAGTGCCTGCGCACTAACGTTGATATGCTCAAAGTCATCCAGATCGGGCTGACACTGTTTAACGAAGACGGCGAGACGCCTCCTGCGCGACCAAATTCGACTCAAGACATTGAACTAGGTGCCGCGGGCAAAAGGGCCGCGTCGCAAGGTCCCTTCCCCTATGCCTGGCAGTTCAACTTCAAATTCTCCGTCAAGGACGACATGTACAACGAGAAATCGATCGAATCATTATCGAGCGCGGGCATCGACTTTGCTCTCCTCGAGAGAGACGGTATCGACCCTCACGAATTCGCCTCCCTCCTCATCCCGTCCGGTCTCGTCTGCTTCGACAACGTAAAGTGGATCTCCTTCCACGGTGGCTACGATTTCGGGTACCTCACCAAGCTCCTCACCTGCAACGACCTTCCCAACGACGAAGCGGACTTCGATGGAGTCATGAAGAAGTACTTCCCGTCAGCTTATGATGTCAAGCACCTTATGAAGCATGCCATCCGACTGCACAACTCGGGACTTCTCACCCCTAGCGACCCCAGCAGCGCCGACATCCTCCAAAAGTTCGAGCACAAGTCTGGTCTCGAGAACATTGCCGACTCCCTCAAGATCAAGCGTGTGGGCAACGCGCATCAGGCCGGATCCGACTCTCTGCTGACGGGCAAGGTCTTCTTCCAAATGCGCGACAAAATCTTCAACGGAGAGATCCCCGAAGAGCACGTCGGCAAGGTGTGGGGTCTCGGCATTCCGGACCTCTTGGTGCTCGAACGGCTGCCGTTTGGTAACAACGCCGGCAACCAGGACCAGTCGCACCAGGGACCCAACGGCCAGCAGAACGGCGGGCCAAGCACGCCCAACACTGCTAGCGTCGGCCTTGTGAGCACACCCGCCGCGCAATCCCACAACACCAACGGCCTATCGATGGGCCCGATGACACCGGGTGGGGGCGGCGGCGTGTTCGGTAACTTTGCCTTTGCAGGCAGAAGTTAGGAAGTTAAGCCTCCGGACGCCCATTACTATTACCACACTGGGATGCTTTAGGGTTCTGGCGCGTGTTGTACCCTGGAACTGGCCATGGTGACTTGTTCTCAGGGGCACAATCTCGCTGGGTTTGGTTTTGCATAATATTTCTTCTATCTTGAAGGTCCACGAGCTGTTATCCACTCTTTATGTCGAATAAGCTCAGCCTCGGGAGTACATCTAGTTTGAGGCGGGTTCCAGAAGGGGGAGCGATATCCTTCTGGGCTCGTTTCGTTTCTTTTTCGGTCGAACGTCTTTGTGTGCGCGGACTCGATATGGAGTTGGGATTCGGGAAGGTCCTGGTTTCATGAATCACGTCAGAAGAAAAAAGGGAAAACGAGCACGGCTGTTGGAAACCTGGGTTGGACCAAGGAGTGGGGTGGTGTTTATGGCTTTCTTTTCATTTCAAGAAAAGGGGGGAAACACACAAACACACTGACACACAAATAACAAACGCCATCGAGGACGTTGATGGATGGAAAGCTATATATGCATTACCAGCTTGGAAAGTGACCCCAGCTTGCGGCGCAGGAAGGGTCAAGGAAGGAAAACGGGCTGTCACCAACTAAAGAAGGAAGAAGACACAGCGGGAGTGAGAGAGAGCGAGACAAGAGAGGACGAGCGTATGAAACTTCTCTTAATCATGTACTGTATTGTGAATACCTGGATCAAACGGTGGGGTTGGGGGAATGACTGCAATTAAAACGCGTGTTTAGTTGTTCACAGTGTTGCTGCTGATGAAGTATCCTGATTCGGTCCGTCTGCGAAAGACGTATGAGGGTGACGACACTTTTGATTTAACGGAGGGTTTTTGATTTGGTTTGTCTAAACACTCTCTGGTACAACTGTACTTCTTCGATTGAAACCTGCCTGGCTTCTAAGAAATTTCCAAGAAAAAAAGGGGGACGCTGCGCCTGAAACTCCAAACCCATTTGAAATGACCTTTTACGCTGTAACAAACAGACCTGCAACCTGATGAAGGTATAATGATGTGGTACACACATCGAGAAGGACAAACGCCGTTTCGTCCTTCTCGACGGGGCGCAGATTGCTCATGTAATGAAGACCTTCTTGAGCTTGTCCACCGAGTAAATATCGCCGGTCCTCAGATCCTTGACCTGATCTGGCGGGAGGCCCGATTTCTTGGCGTAATCTTCCAGACGCTCCTTTCCGTAGGCGCGGCTGTTGGGGAGGAGCAGCAGATCGTGCTCGACGTAGCTCTTGGTGTGGTGCGCGTACGGGACGTTGCGCGCGAGGTCGTTGAGCTCGGTGGAGCAGATAGGGCACACGGACTGGGTGCCTGCCGTCGCGGAGGCGTTGGTGGCGGTGTTTGCGTCTGAGGGGGCGACGTGGGACGAGTTTGCCGAGTGGCAGGCCGGCGTCTTGAGGGCGGACAGGCCGGAGGAGAGGGCGATGTGGAGGAGCGGGAAGGAGGGGAGGGCGAGGAGGGAGTTGTGGGTGCGGGTGAAGAGGTCCGCGAGGGCGTTCCAGCGGTCTGGGCTGTAGAGGTCGGAGTAGACTGCGTTGGCGGCGTTCGGGGGGTACGCGAGGAGGCCGAAGGCTTTGCGGAGCTCTTCCGGGTAGGTCGCCTTGAACGGGACCAAGTACCTCTTCGCGTGGGCGATTGCCTCGAGCAGCTTTGGTTGGGACTGGGTGCGGACTAGTTCGATGTATTGTTGGAACCGGAGCATGAATTCGAGGTTGCTCTGAGAGAGTTTGTTAGCATACTTCGAGAGAGAGGGGGTGTCGAGGGAGAGAACGCACATCCATCTTCCTCAGTTCCTTTTTGTTATCCTGGCACCACGCAAGAGCTTCTACGACGCTTCCATTCCGCAACGCCTCCTGAATTCGACTCATTTGCACAAAGGTCTCAACGTCCACGAGATCATCCATGCCGCGCTCCGCTGTCAGGGCTTTGGCGGACTCGTTGTAGCCGTGCCGCAAGAGGTAGTCGACCAGCAGACGATCCAGCCGCGCGCGGCTCCACGCTTCATACTTGACGTCGTCGACGGAGTGCATGCCGTACAGGTCGCCGAGATGGGAGATCCTGGCGCCGGCCTGCCGGGTCAGACGGGCCTCCTCGTCGGCATGGGCGGTGAGCTTGCGTTTTACGCCGCGCATGCGGGCGATCATTGTGTCGAGGTTCTTGAGGACATCGTCGGGGGAGGCGCGGCCGTTGACGGAGGCGGTGGCTGTCTCTTTGAGTAGGGACTTGATTGCTGTCGAGTCCTTCTCGACTGTGAAGTGGGCTTGACGGAAGTTCTTGCGGAGGAGTTCGTAGGGGAGGCGGAGGAGGGGTTGGTCCTGGTGGCATGGGTTAGTTCAGATCGAGACGGGAGGGCAAGGAGCGGGCACGGACGAGGAGGAGGTGGTCTTGGTGTTTGATTATTGAATGTTCGTGGTCTGCCATATTGGAGCTTCGAGAGGATTGCTCTCGCGGGTTTCAATGGCGAGTTGGAAAGTTATTGGTGAAAGGCCTCCTCGGCGGAGGGGTGTTGGCTGTTGGCGTTGTGGCTTCGGGAATTCGGGAGATGGGATTGATTGGAAGCTGGGAGCACAGATGCACTGATACGGCGCCAACGACCTGGACGTTGACGTTATCCGGGCCGATGTCAATGTGGCGGGGCCGGGTGGCTGTTTAGATATATGGAAGTTGACCTTTGAGCGGGATGTTTTCAAGCAAGTTTCATGGGCTGGGTTGGTTTCCTTCACTGATCAAGACGTCAAACTCGCTCGTCGACTTCTCCTGCCAGGACGTCATTCACAACTTGCTCTCGTGCTTCACTTCCGATGCTTCATCTCCAACCCCACAAGTGACGGACTGCTATCTGTGCACAGACCACATC